CGCTTGGACTGATCCTTTGATAACAAGTCTCTGATTTCTTCTTGATATATTTCCAAATAAGACGCTCTAACTAAGTATTGCTGATTTTGAGATCTAGAGATGTGGGTGAAGATGTGGTCGAATGAATTGGGGATGACCCCTCTCTTTTCAGGATCACCACGCACCCCTTCCATCGTATATGTTTTCCCTGTCCCAGTCTGCCCATAGGCAAAGATTGTCCCATTAAACCCTTGCAGAACAGAGTCCACGAGAGGTCTGAAGGTCTCATCGTAGAGTTCGACCTGTTTGGAATTCCAGTCATACACAGCATCAAAGGTGAACGTTTTAGGCAGTTCATGAGATGATCCTCGTGGATTCTTCACTGAGACCTGCCCTAACTTGACATCCACATTGACAACCTTTTCATAGGAAGCAGTTTTCTCTTTGCTGTTCATGGGCCGGCAGCGCACGACCACCCGCACGGACTCGGAGCTCTTTGACTTAGACATGACGGCGGGGCTGCTGTGATGCTGTTGATGGATGATCCCGTGCTACAAACCTGAAACAAAAACAAAGCAGGAATGTCTGAAGGCAGTTTTCTGCAGAAGATAGCTTTTTACAAAGCCAAAGACTCGCCTCATCAGTTTGAGTAGCATTTTGCATTAAGTTGCAAGGGATTTCGAAGAACTAAAATAAGGTACAAAATGAAAACCCTGTAAAGGCCTGAACTGAGACAGAATTATTTTACCAAAGGCTGTGCATCAAGTGGTATCATTTTTACAAGCTCTGCTGCAAAAACTCATCATCAGATCACATCTTTACAGTTGGTAAAGATCCTTTTCTTGACCCTTAAAAATAATAATAAACCTTTTAAAATTCTTTATTAAAAGAATACTTTGACATTCATCTTCTTTGCAGTTTTGTTTTAAATCTCCCATTTTGAAAATCTAGCACAGCCTTGTTCTCTCTGGAGCACAAGTCTGCTACTATATTTTCTTTTGGCAATATACTTTTATCAGGATTACCCACAAAAGCCAGCCCTGCTGAGCTACACTGACCTACTGACCTCACTCCTGCTCTGATGTTCCAACTGCATCAGGTTTACAGGTCTCACCATCCACCTAAACTCATGTTGCATAAACTCAGATCACAGATCCAACTCGTTCATGACTCTGGATAGAGAGGGAGGACACACTGGTGCATCCTCCAGTCATCAGCAAGATGAGCTGCCACTGAAAATGGAGCAAAAAGCCTCTGCTCCTAAACTGCTAAAGCAGCCACTGCTAAAGCCTCATACAGCAGATCTCAATGGCACAACTTGGGGAATGCCATGCAATTTCTAATAATGCTTTTTATTTCCAAAATATCTTCCAAGAAGAGCCTTCTGCCAACTACAACTAAGTGTAAAACTAATACACACAGGAAACCCTGGGTAGTGCTGGCACAGGTTCAGGTGTGGCCTCCTTGGGATGTGTTCACCGTTCCATTCCCAGCCAGATCAGCAGGAAACAGGGATTTTTGTCTAATTGTTTTTTACTTGATAATTGCATGTCTCAGGAGAGCTTCTCCAACAAGGTGGCAGGGAACTTCAGAGCCAGAGCTAGTGGATGGGAAAGGATGCATAATTTCAGCCCAATATACAGACAGTCAGGCTGGCAAAAAGTAAAACAGCAGTGACAGATAAACGTGGGTAAGAATTGTACAGAAACCTCAGTATGACCTTGGGAATTTCCTTGGATCTGTGGGAGGAAAGTCTTTGCTTCTCATTCTTCCCATAAAAGCACTGAACTGGACACTCCTTCAGAATTCACTCTACACCCTGCACAGTGAGTTCAAACTGTTACAGGAATTTTGGGTAGCTACTGAATAAAACCATTTCCTTCCTAATTGACAGCTCCAGATAAAGATGACCTTCCTGTCTGACCCACAGCAAACACGAATTCTGGAGCACAAACACTGAAAGAATAAGTGAAACGAGGACAAATCTTGGCAGAACCACAAAGAACAGCTCTCCCTCTTTTCATCCTGAGGAGCTGTATACATTAACACACGCTTCCCTTTCCACAGCTCTGAGAGACATTCCAGTAATTCAAGTTCACAAGAGACAATTTTCTGACAAGGTCACATGACAACCACTGTGTCACGTATCTGCATGTTCACACTGGCAAATACTCCAATTAGGCATAAGTTCTGACAAGGAGAACATGGATTTATTTTATATATTAAATATCTAAAATACTGTTCTGATGAGAAGTGCTGCTTTTGTAAGCAACTATGACAAATATAAAATGATCAGAGTTAAATTAGTCTTGGCAGGGGTACACCTTGAACAAAAATTATGTTGCACATTTGCTGCTCCTCTGGGTGTACCTCCTCACTATCAGCTTTTGACACCTTTCCCCACTTCACTTGCAAGTCTCTTTTTATACTCACAAACAACTGATTTTATCCCTGATTTGGGCTATTTTCTTAACAACCCATCACGAAGCATCTCCAATTATTTTAGCTACTGCAGTGAAGTTTACTGGAACCATAACAAATTATGGCTCTTCTCAGATTTATCCAAGTGTGTAACTGGAAAATAAAACCAATTAGTTGGCAGTGTTTGTATTCCCCAGAAACTCCAGGGCAATGTTTGAGCTGCCAGAGTGGCTGAACACAAATGGCCAGAAAGCTGGGAATGCTGCCGTGCCATCCACTCTTCTCCATCAAAGATGGGAAGGTTTTCACAAAATTAATCCAGCCTAAAGTGACCTGGGCCAGGTCCCTGCAAGTCAAGGTCAAGGTTGAGATGGATGCACTTGCAAACGTGCCCCGGTGACCAAAAGGGGAGGATGGGCAGAAATTGAAGCATTTTTATTTATTTCAGTCAACACAAGGTTATGCCTCATAAAATGAGCAATGCCACAACTGAATACAAGCTGGGGCAATCACTTTTCCTCAGAAACTTCCAGGGTTTGGGAGGTGCTGTCCTGGACAGCTGTGCCCCAGGCATTGTGCTCACCCCAGCCACCTGCTCAGGTGATGTCCTGAGCCTGCTCTGCTTCCTGCCTTAAAGATCTCTGAAAGATTTCCACAGAACTGCCCAAACCCTTCCCTTGCATCTCTGCACATCCCAAGGTACCACTCAAAACATTCCATTGCTTCTCGCCATTCAAATCTTTCAAATATTTGTGGTTTCATAATGTCACGGTTGAATTGTGTCTTTCCCTGCGTCCCAAGCCGAACCACCCTTTGTGCTGCTGTTTTCCTCTCTCCTCCCTGCCAAACGCTCCGCAGGCCGGCCAGGACATCCCGGTGCTGCCGCTGGAGCTGGGCCGGCGGTGCCACCTGTGCCACGGTGTGCCCTGATTTCACTCGGCGTCTGAGGTCACCTGTGGTCACCTCTGTCACCTCAGCACGGCACCTCGCGGGTGTTCCCCGCCCCGGGGGAGCCGGGACCGCGGGCTCGTTCGCGGATTCACCCGAGCATCACCCGCCGCCCTCGCGGCTGCGACAGCGGGCGCTGCAGGGAAGGGAGACCGGGGACAGCGGGGAGCACCCGTGGGGAGGGGGGACGGACCGCGGGGGAGAAGCACCGGGAGCGGGGGACACCCACCCGAACGGGGCCACTCGGCCGCGACATCGCCCCCGCAGCCCGGCCGCGGGCGGGTCCTGCCGCCTCCCGCGCTCGCTGTCCCGGCCGCCCCACCGCGCTCCGGGCCGTGCCCACGCCCGGTACCGGGGGACAGCGGGCTGTCAGCGCCCCGCGGTGTGCCAGCCCGAGGTGCGGTTAGGGATACCCGGGGCGGGGTGCGGGCGCGGTGCGGGGCCGAGCCGGACTCACCTGCGCCGTCACCATGGAGCCGCTCGGCCGCTCCTCCCGCGGCCCCGGAAGCGGCGCGGCCGCTCCGCCCGCCCGTGACGCGCTTCCCTGGCAACGGGCGCGCCCGCCCCGCGCCGCCGCTCCCGGATGGAGCCGGGACAAAGGGACCGCACCGCGGGCATCCCGCACGCCGCCAAAACCCAAAGTGCCGCGTTCTGCCCCAGCCGGGCGGGTCCCGCCGCTCCGCCGCACCCAGTCTCGGGGCTTTAAAATTCTCCAAAACTCGAGAATATTTCCAAGGAGAACAAGAAGTCCATAAAGGAAAGCTATTCAAGAGTTAAACCCCCTTAATCAGAGCTGTCTGCATGGCAGCAGTGCAGTGGAGGCTCTGGTATGAGAGACTCCTGCAATGGAGGAAGAGGAAGGAATGTTGGTGCACTACGAGTGAATACAAAATCAAATTTTTATTTGTACAAAAAATACCTTATTTAAAAAAACAAAAAGCCACCACACCCTAACATTTTGTTTTAATACTTTGTCTTCCCAACAGTGTGGGGAAAGGCTTCCCCTGCTCCACAGCAAGGCAAGGCAGCCCCAAGGGCATCACCCAAGATCAGTAAACTGTATGACACAAGGAGGTTCAGCCTTCAAAAGCCCGGCTCCCAAAGGCCTCAAACCTGAAAATTTTGCCCCAAATCCCATGATTTTTGAAGCCTGCCCTGAGAAAACAAGAGATAAGTTTTTGCCACCTGACACCTGGGGGGATCTTCTCATTTTGCCTTCTTTTGCTCACTCCCCTGAGCCTTCAAAATCCTTCAAAGTTCAGAAACATTTCAATGAGGACAAGACCACCATAAAAAGAAACATTTGGAATGAATTGCTCATAACAGCCTTGCCTGGACTGCAACAGTGCACTGGAGGCACGAGCTCTGGTACCACAGACTCACCCAAGTGGCATTTTTGAAAAATGAACTGTTCTGTACTCACTCTTTGGACCAGGAAACGAAGCCACCAAAAGGCATTGGTCAAGTTGAGTCTCACCATGCTGGAATTATCAGTGTTACCAGCATCAAACTGCATCAGGTTAAACAGCAGGGTTTGGGATGTTGCTTCCCCATCAATGAAGTATTTCCCAGAGTCACCTCCACTGGGAACTGCCCCAGACAAAGGTAATGCTCTCAGAGGGGTTACCCAATAAAGTACAAAAACAAAACAATACCATAGACCAGGTGTGACATATCCAACCTCACTAAAGCTATTTTAAAAACCTCAAAGTTTCTCTTCTACCACAGACCTTACTGACACCAACAGCTACAAAGCTACAAGCCCCCAGTCTCCAGTTCTGGACTGACTGTGACAGATCTGCTCCCATGTCCCTGCACACATCTTGCCCCAGGCTGATATAGAGAGGCTGAATAGGCAGCTGCCATGTTACACCATGTCCCACTGCACTCCTCCAGCATCACCAAAGAGATCCAGGGCCCCACAGCACTGGGTATGGAATCTCTTTGGACAGGAGAAGGGACACTGAGGCACTGTGGTGACCCAGGTCTGGTAAGACAATTGTGGTCCTTGATAAAAGCCAGAGCTTTTTCAGTCCTGAGCTTCACCTTGCATGACCTTTTCAGGGAACCTGATATGTCTGACAAAAGTTTTACACTCAAAAAGAACCAATTATGGTCAGTTTTGAACACAAAGCTTCAAAAGATCTCCAGGTGAGAGTTATGAATTAACAGAGAAAGAAAAGAGGAAATCTGAGCAGCTGCTTCATCATGATTGTTGATGAATCCCAAGTAGTGAGAATGGAGAGCTATAAAAGCTACATCTTAAAAAAACTAGATATAGTTTATAGTTTCCTATAAACTACATGATTTAAATCTCTATCTGAGCTCACACTGGAAACACTGGAGAGATCAGACAGAACAGTCTGGAAGGGACTATGAGGAGCATTGGAGGGCAGGAGCTCTCCCACAGCCCAGCAGTGACTGCCCACAGCAAATGCTGAAGCACCAAGGACCCAGCTCAGAGCCCTGGAACCACAGAGCCTCTTCCTCCTTTGGTCAGAACTCATCCCTCAGCCTCGGTGGGTGGTCCATGCCAAAAAATGATGAGGGTTTCCCATGGATGTCACGCTCTCTTTTCACAAAGGCAGTGAAGGAAGAGACACAGTTCCCGATGAAGTGGTCAGACTGGCCAAGGATGTACAGATCAATCTGAGGCACTTCTGGCTGCAAGCTGACAACCTTGAGCTGCAGAGAAACGAGGAAAGCAGATTAATCCAGTCAGCTATTATCAAAATCCAATGGCTTGGCATAATATTAGAAATGGAATACACAACAGAAAGAGTGAGTTTTGTCTTTCTCTGCCCTATAACTCATTTATGATCAGATCAATGTCAAAGCATTTCTGAAAATCACTTAGGTTTATTTAATTTAAACCCTTTTCATGGAAATATTAATTCCCATGCCAGATAATGCTCTTCAATATCCTGGGGAAAAAAAAGAGTTTTACAGGATAATTTTTATTGCTATGAGCTAAATTCACTTTGAGATGCCAATATTTGACTGTGAATAGCCTATTCCACAATTGCCTGTCTGCTGCCCATAACAGCCTCGGGCCAGAATCCAATGGAGGGTTTTATCCAAGCACTCCTGCCAGAAGATGTTTCTGGAAGACTCACCTTTCCCTGGAAGAACTGCTGTATTTCTGTTGTGTATGGCTCGGAATCGGTAGCAATATAAACAGATTTAGCTTCAATCTTTGCCACCCAGAGCTTGAGAGCCCGTTTGATCTCTCTGAGGTCTGGCAGGCACATGTCCATGGTGAGAGGCACTGCAGCACTCCGGTCGTAGCCCACACACTGTGGTGAAGCCATGAAGTGTGGCCCAGCTGTCCCATCCTTTAACATGTTGCAGGCATTTTTCTATTGGAAAAGAGAATCACAGATCATCAAAGTTGAAAACCTCTGAGATTATCAAGTCCAAACTTTGAACCGATACCCCATGCCCACTAAACCTTATCAAAAAGCACCACATCTGCTTGTGTTGTGGACACTTCTAGGAATGCCAATTCCACCATGGCCCTGGGCAGGCTGGGCCAGTGCTCAATCACTCTTTCAGTGAAGAATTTTTCACTAATATCCAAACTGAACCTCCCCTGGTGCAACCTGAGGCCACTTCCCTTTGTCCTGTTGCTGGGAGGAGAGGCAGAACCCCACCTGGCCACAACCTATTTTCGTTCTCCAAGCACCGCATTCGAGTGAGAAAACACCACCACGTCCCCAGCCTCTGCCTGTCTGAAAGAATCCCAGCAGCACTGCTAACACACAGGGAGCTCCTGGATGCCAGCAGGGATCAGGTGGCTCTCCCAGCACAGCTCCTTTTTGAGCAGCTTTGTCCACATCCCACTTGTCACCAGCCTCAGGGCACTGCCGTACCCAGTCCGAGCCGATCCTCAGGTGAATGCCGACGTAGGGCCGGAGCAGCAGAGACTGGATATGGGATTCTCCCTTCTCCACCATTGCATCCGACCACTCCATGTACTTCTGCAGGGGCCTGTGCTCCTCCAGGACAGGAAACTGGGCTGGAGCTCCAGGTAAAGCAAGGACAGGGTGCTCAGAGGGTGGAAACCTACAGAAAACCAAACTTCAGCAGTCTGAAATGTGACCTAACCTGCACTAAGACTGCTGTGAAGGTTAGAGTAGAAAGCAGGAACACCCCAAAATGTGCAGCATTATTGCTCCAGATTTAGATAATTTTAGCTGTTTTGCCATCTGAACTGAAGAAATCTCAGGGACTGTATTTTAGCTCAGACCTTTTATCTGATAGACAATAAGAGAAGAACCTCAAACATGCAGTGAGGAGCTACCAAGCAATGGGATGTTACATTTTCACTCCAGACTAGAGCAATTCTGGCACCCAAATTTACTGATAACAACTAAAGTTACTCATAGCTCTAAAAACACGAGGTAAGCAGCAAAATACTGTTCATAATCACCAATGGAGAACCAAATTCTTTTTGATGATTAATTACATATTTAATAAATAAATACTTAATAAATTCAGTATTCCTGGCTCAGAAGTCAATCAGCCTAACAGAGTTCATACCTAAAGTAATGCCCACAGGAAGTGCCCAGCAAATATTTAATGGAAAAAGCAGTAATATTTTTAATTATATTACTAACTAACCACTTCAATCTCTCCCCTAAAATGTAAAGTCACAATACACAGTCACAGCTGCTTTCATGAGTGACTCTAAATGCCCACAATGACCTGCCAGCACTTTTCCATCTTCTTGCTACCTTTGGATCCAATGGTCCTTGTATGCAGGAATGAAGGAAATTCCCTTGAAGAGCTCAGACTTATCAAAATCCACTTGGAACTGATCCCAGAAGGGACCAAATGGATTTCCATCCTGCAAAGAAAAGACAAGTGCTCATTCAGTGTATATAGAGAGCCTGAAAGAGGGATCTAGCAAGATGCTGAGGTGCAAAGCAGGAGCCTGTTCCAGGATGGAAGCAGTTGGAATACAACAGCCTGTTTGACACACCAGCTCCACAGGAAGGAGACACTGAAATATATTAAGGGAAGTTCACTGAGAAGGTTGCAAAGGTTGTCTTAAGGAACAAGGACACCACAGTTTCCAAACTTGTACTTAAGAGAGGTTGCTTTAACACCATCTGGAAAACTATCACAGCTAGGAAACAGAGAGCAGGAGATAAGCTACAGTAACAATCAAGTCTGAAGTGATAAAATCTACTTGCATACACTGTATCCCCGATCCCCAAGCACTTGGAGACAAAGAAAACTGATGATGGCACAGCATGCCACTCCACAAGTGGTGAAAGCAACGCCACACGGACCGATTTGCGGTGGGTAACTCCTAAATTTGCAAATCAATGGCGACCTGAATGAGTCAATCATAGCCTTCGGAACTAAGCCATTCCCGAGGGGCTGAGGAGGAACTCACCTTCATGGGACATGTGCTTTTGTCCGCGCTTCTTTGGGCAGCAGCCTCGAAGCAATAAGCCACCCTCCTGCCGGGCGGCCAGTGCCGGGGCGCCAGATGCTCCATGAACTGCTCCAGGCTGATCACGCGGTGGTAGCGCCGGAGCGGCTCCAGCCTGAAGTGCTCCGAGTAGGGGACGTGCAGCTGTGGGAGAACAGAGCCCGTGAGCCGGGGGTGCCCTTACCCGGGGCCCGCAGCTCATCCCCGCAGAACTCCCGGCCCTGCCCGCTGCTGCCCCGCTCCCTCCCCGCGCCCGCCGGGGGCTCACGTTGGTGTAGGGCGGGCGGTGGTGTCGGTACTCGATCCAGGGCGGCACGGCCAGAGTCCGGTTGAGGGCGCGGGCGAAGGCCAGGGCTCCCAGGAAGTGCTCGGCTTGGTTACCGAAGCGGCCTGCGAGAGATGCGGCTCAGGCGGGGACCGCGGGATGCAGCGGGAGCCGCACCGGGGGATGGACCGGGGCACGGCCCGGGGAATGCAGAGGGAGACAGAGCGCGGACCGCGCCGGGGGATGAAACGGGGTCTGCAGCGGAGTCTGCAGCACAAGGGTCTGCAGCAGGAACCGCACTGGGGGTCGCACCGGGGGGGTGCAACCCAGAGATGCACAGGGGGCCCGCCCCGGGAGAGCCTCACCCATGCAGGGACAGTAGAGCAGGTACCCGGCCTCGTCCCAGGCGGGTGCCGCGCCGCTTCCCGCTGCCATCACCGGGAGGAGCAGGAGGAGGACAAGGAGCACCGGGACCGGCGGCACCGCCATGGCGGCTCGTCGGCGGCCAGAGCCGGGCGCCACCATCCCGTCATGCCCCGCGGCTCGCCGCCCTGGCGGCCACCACCGAGGCGTGACGTCACTCCCACAAGGCCCCGCGCAATGGCGCCGCCGGGGCCGGGACCGGAGCCGCGCTTGGCGGGGCCCGGGGGAACGGGGTGAGCGCGGGGGGGCGAGGGAGGGGGGCGGCACCGCAGCGAGGGGCGGTGGCACGGCCGTACCCTCCCCTCAGTGGCGGGGTCCCCTCAGGGGACAGGGGGGCGTGTGAGGAGGAGGAGGAGGATGCGGGGCGGAGTGGGGGGGCGTAGGCCGGGCCCGCCTCCCTCCCTTCCTTCAGAGCTGCGGGGCGGGGGTGGGATGTGTGATCACGCTCCACCGGGGCTGCATTATCCACGGAGCGCTCCCGGGGGTGGGGGTCCCGCGGTTGGCTTCCGAGGCAAACGGCCTGGAGGTGCCAGAGGGAGGAGCGAGTTGCCCCTCGCGGTCAGCCCCCGGCACCTCCGCCGTTTGCAAGGCGGTTGCCACAGCACCTCTGAATTCCCTAAAATTCCGGTGCGATCGTTTATGCACCTTATTGTTAAAAACATCAACATTCAAACTCTTGTCTTCTTCCAGGTAGCTTTGAAACTGGCCCAGATGGCCAGGCTTTTCCGGAGGGAAAGGAGCAGTTCCCTGGTGAAAGTGGCAGAGACTCCCGAGACACCTGCACAGCTCTGGAGCAAGAGGTAGAGAACAGTCATCTTTTCTGGGACATATTTCATAGAGAGGTGAAATATTCATGTTTTTGGCACCCAGAAAGACAGATTGCTCTGAACCAAAGGCTTCCTGCACCCTGAGGGATCAGAGCAGCTGTCACATCATGCTGGTTTGTCCCAAAGTGGCACCTCAGCAGTTCTGGTCCTTTATTGTTCTGCTCGGACCATGTTGATTTAGCCTGCACAAAACCAAGTTTTGTTCTTAACGGGCATTCCTAAAGCTCAAAGTGACATGTTTTCTTGGAGTGATCCTGTTTCCCAGTGTTTTTGCACCCTGAAGGAACCATCCATGGTATTTGGGGTGATGGTGCAGTCACAGTAATTGTCACTTCAGCTCTTCATAACGTTCCTTGAGCACTTTCTTGGGGTTGGTTTGTTCCCTCGCAGTTGCACATCCTGCCCACAACTCGCACTCATGTTGATGTGCAGCAGGAAGTTCCTCCTCTGAAGCAATCATGGAGTGAGGGTTTGATGCTATTTTAAGAAGAGTTTCTCAGGCAGCCAAATTGAGTGAAAGAGATCGGTTTTATTTCAGCTGACCGTTTACCAGTCAAGTTGGCAGTAGAACTTTATAAAAATGTTTTTACTTCACCAACACACAACTCAAGAACAACCTGCTAAGAGAGATTAATGTAGAACCTCGTCAACCTGAAACCCAGAAGAGCTTACAGGAGGTGTATTTTCTTGAACAGGAAACAGTATGAGCTTCCATTATTAATGGATGAGAGTGTCAAATTAAAAAAAAAAGAGTAAAAAATTGCTCATTACAGTAGAAAACTTGCTGATGCAGAGAGGCAGAATCTGCCTCACAATCGAAAAGTGAAAATACAATGAGTAATCCCACCCTGAAGAGGAGCAGCATCCGTTGCCTTCCAGAAAAAGGTGTGGTGTTGACGATAATTGCAAGTTTTCTTCCTCAGCCCTGTTCAGCCACATGTGGGGGTTCAGATTGATTTGCTCTGGAGATGGTCTTGCCCAGTGCACCAGGCTGGTAGCAGAAAGGATGAGACAAGAAAATACAAGAGAACTTTGGTTTCTCTGAGAATCTCTGGGAGGGAATTCTGTATAGGCAGAGACCAAGAGCAAGTGAGAATATGAAAAAAGGGGATGAGAAGTGATCCACAAAACCCACAGGGAAAGGTATTTATAGCTACAAATAGACAACTTTTCAGGAGAAAATACATCCAACAGGTAACACTGGCTCTTAGTTGCAAAAAATGCAATTCAGAAAAAGTTTAGCATAATTTTATTCAGGTAACAAGTTAAGGGGGAAAAGACAGAAAAATATTGTTGATTGGAGATTGTAGTTCACCATGACTGGGAACACGCATCTTCACATGTTCACTGTGTGCATGGGTGAAGGTTGCAGTGTCTTAACACCAGCCTTCTGTGATTTCAGATGAAGAAGTTTTGCTATTAAAGCAGTTTGGTCACAGGGGCCTCCAACAGAAAACTGCACCAGGACAACATCACAGTGAGACATCCATGGGCTCGAGTTCTGCTTGACATGGCCATGTTCTACTAGACCTGCCATGACGGCATTTTTTCCCAGTGTTCCCAACTGGATTCAAGATGCAAAGCAGGAGGAGGAAGAGACAGGCTGGAAATTAGTCCCCAGACCAAGAGGTGAAGAGACCGAAAGTCAGGGAAAATGCCAGTGTGAATTATCGGAGCCCTCCTTCCCTCACGTGGACAAGCTGAGAACTCACACACTTGCCCATTCCGAGCAGAGGCCCTACAACTGCCCCCAGCTGCACTGTGGCAAGGCCTTTGCCTCCAAGTACAAGCTCTATAGGTAGGTACCTGCAAGTGCCTCTGCCCAGCAGTGCCAGGAGAGAGGGGAAACCCCCTCCCTCGTGTGTCTTTGCTTGAATTTCTGAGAAGCTGGAGGAGGGGAAATGCCCTTTTACCTTGCAAAGCAGTTGAGTCCCAGACATTACCATACTTGGCATCTCTTTAGGCACCTTCCAGAGAACTTCAGCTAATGCTGTATCCTGAGCTCAAGCTGTTTTTCACTGAGGAGGAAATAGAAACAGAAAGTGAAGTTCACAGATTAAGAAACAAAATGAAAAGCAAGAATAGCATTTGCATTCCTAAGTCCTGCCTCTAACCACAGGATAATTCCATGGCAGCTGTTGCTCCAGTATGGAGAAGTAGAGTTCCCATTTAAGTAGTGAAGTACAACACAAAATAATTAAACAGTGATGGCTGAGAACTTGAAATCAGATGAACCACAGTGTGGGAGAGTGTGAGATCACCAAAGTGAAATCAGACCACAATGGCTGTCAGCAGACTTGGGCACACAGCCTGACCCTCGTGATGAACTGAAGTTTTCTCACCTAGTGTCACAAACTGGGGAGGTTTTTATGGCAGCCTCAGCAGAGAGCAGGAGCTGAGGAGAGACAGCTGCTGGGACAGACTGTAGGTTTTGCCTGAAGCATTGTGCTCCTCGTTTAGTGGAGGCAAAATGCCGTCTGAGATTTTTGTGGCATAAAGTGTAGGACACAAAATTTTAGAAAACTATCATGTGTTCCCTCAGGGGCTGCATGTTTGTCTGACCTTCCCTGCTTTTCTCCCCTAAGGCATATGGCCACACACTCTGCTCAGAAGCCCCACCAGTGCATGTACTGCGAGAAGATGTTTCACCGGAAGGATCACCTTCGGAACCACCTGCAGACCCACGATCCCAACAAGGAGGCCCTGCACTGTCCCGAGTGCGGCAAGAACTACAACACCAAACTGGGCTTCAGGCGACACCTAGCCATGCATGCAGCTGCCAGCGGTGACCTCAGCTGCAAGGTGTGCCTCCAGACCTTTGAGAGCACCCAGGTCCTGCTGGAGCACCTCAAAGCTCATTCCAGGCGCGCTTCCGGCGGGGCCAAGGAAAAGAAGCATCCATGTGACCACTGTGATCGGCGCTTCTACACCCGGAAAGACGTGCGGAGACACCTGGTAGTGCACACAGGCCGAAAGGACTTCTTGTGCCAGTACTGTGCTCAGAGGTTTGGGAGGAAAGACCACCTGACCAGGCACATGAAGAAAAGCCACTCCCAGGAACTGCTGAAGATTAAGACGGAGCCAGTGGACATGTTGGGTCTGCTCAGCTGCAGCTCCTCTGTGGCAGTGAAGGAAGAGCTGAGTCCTGTCCTGTGTATGGCATCCAGAGACATGATGGGTGGTAAGAGCTTCCCTGGCATGCTGCCCGTGGGCATGTACAGCACACATCTCCAAACCATGCCAAGCTCAGGGATGCCCCATTCTTTGGTTCCTAATTCTCTTCCAATGGGAATGAGCTATCCTCTGGAGTCTTCTTCTCCCATCTCCTCCCCACCGCAACCTCCTCCAAAGTATCAGCTTGGATCTACCTCATATTTGCCTGAGAAACTACCCAAAGTAGAGGTGGACAGCTTTTTGTCAGACTTCCCTGGCAGCCTGTCTCTCTCATCTGGTGATCCTCAGTCCTCTTCGCCTCAGCCACCCGCCCTGGATGAGGCTTTGCTTTCCAAGAGCCCTGCTAACCTCTCAGAGGCTCTCTGTGCTGCTAACATGGACTTTTCTCATCTTCTTGGCTTCCTCCCCCTAAATCTTCCTCCTTGCAATCCTCCTGTCTCATCAGGAGGATTGGTCATGGGCTACTCGCAGGGGGAGGCACAGCCACTGCTCACCACTTTGCAACATCAACCTCAAGAGTCTCCTGGAGCTGGGGCCTCGCTGAACTTTGGGTCCCTTCATTCGTTGCCCCCCGTCTTCACCTCCAGCTTGAGCACAACCACGCTGCCACGGTTCCACCAGGCGTTCCAATAAGCTGGAAATAGCACTGGAGAACAGATCTTTCAGCCACCCTTCTGTGGAGAGCCTTAAAAACGCACAACTCTTCCTTCCTTGGGGGTGTGAAAGCTCTGGCAGAGCTGGGTCAGACAGGAGGTCTCTGATCTCGGAGGGAGCACTTGTAGACTGGAACAGCTGATACCCCATGCGAGTCCCAGTCCTGTACAGCAGAAAGATTTCAAAGCTGATAGACTGGATATATTTTATCTAATTTTTAATCTGTGAATCAGGAGCAGCGCTTAGCACTGACCTTCCCTGAGAATGCTGGAGCTATGTTCCTCTCTGGGAAGGGACTGTCCCTCAGAAGGAGTTGAGACTCTTTCATCCTGGGCTACACTTTTGAAGAGTCCAGCTTCCATTTCATGTTACCACACTGCAATTCTGGCAAAC